AGCTTACATTTTCAGAGGTTTAGTCCAGCACTGAGCACTTACCAAGTGCAGGGTAACTGCTGTTAGTGTTCGAAGGTTGACTAAAGGGGTCTTTAAAATATATTTTTCACAAAATAAATGATGATTTGTGGTGGCTGTGTTTGTCAGCGTGTCCGGTCTGGCAATGCACACACTACCCAGAGCTGGAGGTATCCTTGTTGCCATTTCTCAACCATTGGCTGACTTGGTTTTTATCTGAAGTTTATGTAAATGACCTGTCAATTCTTAAGTGATGAACTCATTGCCGTTTAACGTCCACTGTCTTGTAGCTGTCTTTTCCCTGACACTTCCGTCCATTCCCTTTTCTACCTTTGATAAAACAGTCACTTAAAACCGACTGTTAAGACATTTCAAAGCAGGTGCTTGAGAATGTCATCCTTTGAAATGTGTCCCGGTTGCTGTTTTGGAAGTTAATCAGGGTCTCTGACTCCTCTCTCCCGCCTTCTTCTCTCATTAAGTTCACAGAACAGCATGTATGGAACTCAAAGGCTTAGGGATACTTGGCTGAGCATTTTACTGGATGTAGTTTAGTATTGTGTATCATACACAGTTAATAAATCTGGAGATTTAATAGCCACTAACGAATTACAAGGGCTCACAGTCGCTGAAACCTGAAGAGGCATTAGGGGATTTATATAACTTCCATTATTGTGCAAAGTAATTTCCATGCTATTTACTTTATATTTGTTGTTCAGAATGGAAATGTTTGAGACAGCAGGGGTTGTCATCTTTTTACCTGTAACCAGAGCTTTCTGCATTTGTCTGCAGAGATGATGGATGCCCCTCCAGGGTTGTGTCCCTCAGGTGTTCCAGTTAGAAGCTTCTGGTTTCTGTCTACTCTGGCAGAAAAGCGAGTGCATATATAAAGTTATGTGAGCTCTCCCATGACTAAGGGACTGTTTGGCTTTTAGGAATTGTGAGCCAGTCTGAAAGAAATATGCCCAGAAGAATGTATGACTTAGTGCCATTTCTGCAAGAGAGTTAACCCCTTGCCTAGCTGTTTGAAGCAGCACCTGTGCTTTTAAATGAGCCTTCTTGTGGTTTCAGTAGTGACATTGTTTACAGATAGAGTGATCCTGTATCTTAAATAAAGCATAGTCACTAAAATTGTATATGGATGCTTTTCCACATAATTTCATGTAAGACAGAAATGTTTTGCAATACATATCTTTTATTTTGTTTTGTTTCAAGACAGGGTTTCTCTGTGTAGCCCTGATTGTCCTGGAAGTTGCTCTGTAGACCAGACTGGCCTGGAACTCAGATCTACCTGCCTCTGCCTCTAGAGTGTTGGATTAGACACCTGGCTTGTAAAACATATCCTTAACCTATGAAATAATTGTTAGCTTAGATGTAAAAAAAAGCTTCATAGATAAATGTCAACCAACATGCAATATATATTGAGAAAACACTGTTGTTTTTATAGAGCCATTATACTACCCAAGATGTGAGACATTATGTTTATTTTCATGCAGTCCCATAATGGCTCTAAAATTAAAACAAATGTTTTCATAAAAGGAAAAAAGTCATTCTTCTCAATTTATCAGATAAAAGAGTGTAATTTTGCGTTTAATTTCCCTGTTTCTGAGATCCGCCTGTTTTCAGGGTATTGGTGCTACCGCCTCCGCCCTTACTCCTCGTCTTGTTCCACTGCTCCTTTTACTACTACTTCCTATGAATTTACAGGATACCCTAGGCTTACAGCCATCTGTTGAGCACTTTCTCTCTATTACAGGGCATTAAGTTAGTGTGGGGACAGACTTGACCAAAGCTGGTTGTATACGTATGGGAGTTCTAGGAAGTCTTTAGTCTGCCTTGGGTGTCTTTTGCTATGATAACATATACACCAAGGCAGCTTACTTTGGCTTATACCTCCAGAGGGGAAGTCCATAATGGTGCCAAAGGTATGGCAACGGGAGCAGGGTGTTGGCTGATCACATCTTCAAAAACATGCAGAAGACAGAGAGTGAACTGGAAGTGGGGGAGGGACTGCAGACTCTCACAGTCCACCCCGAGTGACCTACTTTCTTCATCAAGGCTCCTAATCGCAAGCAGCACCACCACCCGAGGACCAGGACCAGGCGTTTAAAGACCTGAGCCTATGGGGGCTTCTCCTTCAAAGCACCACGATGCTTTGACATCCTCCTCCAACCAAGTCTCAGTGCCAGCTCTGCGGGGTGGGAGGAATGGTCCAAGCACATGTGGGATGGGTAGCTTGTAATGCTAAAGAGGAAATACTGGGAAGTCTACTGTTTGAACATTAAGAGCAGACAGGCAAACAGTTCTGCATTCATTGGGTAGAGGAGCATGTTTCTTGTTGTGTAGCCCTGGCTGTCCTGGAACTCACTCTGTAGAACAGGCTGGCCTTGAAGTCAGAGAGTCACCTGCCTCTGCCTCCTGAGTGCTGGAACTAAAGGTGCATGCCACCACTGCCTGGTGAGAAGTGTGTTTTAAGCAGGGCACCAACGGAAAAAAAGAATGACACTTGTGACCATTATGATGAAATACTTGACCATGTAAAAGAAGGCTGAAGGGCTGGGGTTGATTTCTAGTCTCTGTTTCTCTGTCTTTCTCTGTCTCTCTCTGTCTCTGTCTCTGTCTCTGTCTCTCTCTCTCTCTCTCTCATACACACACAGAGTCATTAAAGCTTCATTTTAAGGAGTCACCTCCTCTAGTGTTCTCACAGAGTCTTTAGTCTTTTTTAGCTTTGGAGCATGTGAGCTAATTTGGAAATGCTTAAAAAACTGGAGTCTCTGCTGCTTAAAAGATTCCTGGAATTATGTATGTAGCCTAACTCTTGTAGTTTCTTGATTATTATATTCTAATTGATTAAATATGTAAGAATCTATACACATTAATTTTTCTTATACATTACATTCATAAAATATAGTTGGAACCTACATTTAAGTTTTGGTGTAGGAAAAAGAGATATTAGTTGGGATATTAATAATGATGAAAAGTGAAGGTGTAAACTACACTGTACTTAGGATTTTGCGGTTGGATTGCTACATCTCCCCCATGCTCCAACACAAACCTTCACAAGAGCAGGTCTCTGATGTGTTTGTTCTTGGGTGTCTGTAGCTCTTTTTGGTAGTGCAGTATTGATTACATCTGGTGACTGTCTAGCTTCTCTGCTGTGTGGAACTCCAGGAAAGTAGCAATTGTCTTTGCTCTGCTCACCAGACCATATAGCACCCAGTAAGTGCACACATATATTACCTGTTGTGATGTGTACTAATTAGAAATCTGGGTGCAAGATGGCTCAGTGGATAAGGGTGCTTGCTGCCAAACCTGATAACCTTGAGTTCAATCCCTGGACCCTATTGTTTTTTGTTTGTTTGTTTTCTATTTTAAAATGACATTTTTAAAGAACAATCTTACATATCAATCCTAGTTCCCTCTCCCATCCTCCCATGTCCTCCACTGACCCCCAACCCACCCCCACCTACTCCCCAAGGATAGTGAGGCCTTCCATGGGGAATCGTCAAAATCTGTCACATCCTTTGGAGGAGGACCTAGGCCCTCTTCCGAGTATCTGGACTGCAGTAGTATCCCTCCATAGGGAACAGGCTCCCAAAGTCCATCTGTGCACTGGCTCCACTGTTAGAGGTTCCATAGACTGCCCAGGTTGCCACATTCAGAGGGTATGGTTTGGTCCAATGCTGGTTCCCCAGATTTACAACTAGGGTCTCTGTGCCCTCACTAGGTCAGGTCAACTGTTTCTGTGGTGGACCCACATTGTAAGGAGAGAACTAACTCTCTGTGGCACTTGAGTTCCTCCTCTCCAACAAATAATAAATAGATGCTTAAAAATGTAGGCGGTTAACCTTAGGTCACATATATGGGCAATAATTATACTTTTTATGAAGAGAAGTTGTATGTATAGGGAGAAAGGAAGCTGATAAGATACAGAAAACTGGGAGATTCCCAGAGCTCCTCCCTGAAGTTGTATAAGCAGGGAACACTTGCTGGAGGAAAAGGAGACTGTCTTTGGAGAGGTGCCTACAGGTTGGTCAGGTAGTGCTAGATTCAGTCTCCACACTGGTAGAGCTGTTAGGGATGACTGCTGTGGAGTCTTCTCCTGCTAGTGACCCCAGTGAACTCGTTTGTTCACCAAGCAAGACTCTGTTGGAAGTATTTCTTTGTTCTGTCCTTTTATTTATGGATGAATAGACAGCTGTGCACATCATACCAGGAAAAGTCATGCAACACAAAGATAATACATAGCTTAGAAAACAATATTATTAAAGAAAGGAAATACATAATTGTTAAGTCCTATCCAAATGATGTAGGAAGGAGAAAAATATTCTAAGTAAATTGTCACAAAATATTGGCAATGATTATTTCTGGGTCATGGGATTGTGTCTGGTTTTAATTTTCTTCATTTCCTAATTATTAGTTATAATCTGTAGACTATAATCTTTTACTTGGTAGCAACTCCTCCCACCACTGTGACAATGTCTTATATAGCCATGCCAACAATCAAAACACAAAAATAAAACTACAACTAAAAAATACAACTCCAAACCCGAACCCACTTTAAATACTATGCCTCAAATGTCAATTTGAGATTGCCCTTTCCAGCATCCTTGATATGACTGTATTGTGACATGGATTTGTTACTGAAGTAACCTGCCAGACCGAAAACTCTAGAGAAACTGATTTTCTCTTCTTCACTATTCCTTAAAAGTGTGTTTTAAGAAAGTCCATGGATAGAAAAATGTAAGTCACACCTGGGAATAACAGTCTGTCCTTATATTTTTCTTAAAAGAAGGAAGTAATTCATGCTATCCCTTGATAGATAGAGAAATGCCTAGGCTAGGTGAAAAATCATCAGAAGGTTCTGTTGTTTGTATAAACCCGGTCCATCTGTACTTGCCTTGCCTGCTTCTCTAGGATAATTAAACAGTGATGGATTAGGACAAGGCTGCGGCAGAGATTGGGGGAAAAATCTCCCAGCATCCCTTCCTGCGGAAGCAGCCGCCAGAGCAGTGAGTGTAGCTGCCGCTGCAATTGACAGGTCTTAAATTCACCCAGCAGTGCTCTGGGGGCTGTCAGATGCCTCTGCTACTTATTTGCCAGGGTCTGGTAACAGAAAGTCTCTCTGCAGACCAGGGAATGAAACAGAAGTTGCAAGTCTCTGTTGGTTTTTATATTGAGGAATGACTCATTTTTAGTTGGCTTTTAAAAAGATCTGATACAAGAGAGGGAAAGACAGCTTCACAGTGGGACCGTGTTCTTTCCTCGGAAGCTCGGAAGTTGCAGCTGCTGTGAGCCCGTGAGTATGTTGTGCTTATTTAGCGGTTCCGAGGGACCTGATTGCAAGGTTCTCTGTAAGTCCGGGAGGATCTATTTATGGCAAGCTTTGGGGAAACATGAAAGAGTTCAGCCTCTTTAGAAACCTGCAGGTTTGTCAGATTAGCAGCTTCCTGTCATGCTTGCCAGGGCTTCCCACGCCCCCTCCCTTTTCTGACTCTTCTGAGGGTGAGTGCTGTCATTGCGGAAAGCAGTCTGCCTGCCTGCTCCGCAGAGGTTGTGGTCTTCCTCAGTGCCATGGCTGGCTGGCTGATGCTGCAAGGTGTGCCCCGGATCTCCCCAAGACTCCCACAGCAGAACAATGGCCTCCTGCAGGAGGAGGCTCACTAGCTTTTCCTCGTAGGTCCTCTGCTGCCTTCTTCCCTGCATTCATTCTGTTTGGTCTTCTTATGGTAATTAAGACCTTAAAGATGGATAAAATGATGTTCATTCAGAAATAGCCTGTGTTGTTTACCCTGGATCTTCACCTCCAACTGGGTGGTGTTGGCTTAAGCCAGTGTCTGTAGCAGATTATAGTGAATGTGAGTCCCCAGAGAGTGAGCTCCACATCCTGACCTTGCATGGGGATCACTGCTGGTGTGTGTGTGTGTGTGTGTGTGTGTGTGTGTGTGTGTGTGTGTGTGTGTGTGTGTGTGTGTGATACAGATTCTGAACTCGGAACATCTGTCCTGAGTCATTGTGTCCCACTTTCCCCCTCTGGAATTCACCAGGATTGGTGGATGCACCCTGAGCAGTTTGTTAACACAGGGTTTGGTTTCAGATTCCTCCTGATCTGCACCCCCCCCCCCATGTTCTGGTTGTGTATCAGGTGGCCATGATCTTCCTCTCTTACAACCACATTAAAGTGACTTTTAGAAGTGATTGGTGGTCAGAATACTTTTAAATGCCAACTGGTCCCAGTTGTCTTTATACACGTAATATGCTTGACTTAGGCTGACATATTATGAGCTTTTTGAGTGCCAGTATTTGGTTGATTTCCTGCAGAGTAAAAATAAGCGAAGGATTTAAAAAAAAATCCTGCTACCTAGAGATCAAACATCTGCTGCTTTTATTTTTAAACATTTTCTCATACCTAAGTACAGCAACTTGAATTTAATTAGGAAGGGTTGCTAAATTTAGGACACTCTGCCTTTAAGCTTGCAAAGAACATTCATTCATTCATTCATTCATTCATTCATTCACAAATGTTCTCATTTGTTGCAAAGCTTTTTCCAAGGTCTGTGGAAATGATGTTGAAGAAAATATTGTGTGTGCACTCCTGAAGCAGATATTTTTAGTAGGTAAAGGAGGCTGTTAAAACCTAATTACTAAGTTATTGTATTAGAGCTGTGGTGAGTTTTTCAGCTGTATAGCTACAGGCTGCTTTGCGAGCAGCCTTATATGGGACACATCAGTGCTTGTAACTAGTGCTGCCCCAGATCTTCAGGCACAGAGCCTTTGAGTCCTTAGCTGGAGAGAGGTGTTAGAAATATGCTCATTAGTTCAACAGGCATGCAATAAGCCCGTAAGTATAGTGTTTAGATTAAAAGAACTGTTTGATTGGCCCACTGGGGAAGGGAGGGGAATTGGTTATTCTGTCACTCTGTGCCATCATTTCCCTATCTTAGGGGAGATGATAGAACTGGACTCTTCCTCAAAGGTTTTCTAGGCCAGGCCCAGTGTTTTTGGTCAGTCTCCTCCTCCTCCTCTTCCTCCTCCTCTTCCTCTTCCCTCCTCCTCCTCCCTCCTCCTCATCCCTCCTCCTCATTCCTCCTCCCTCCTCCTCCCTGTCCTCCACTTTCTCCTCCTTTTCATCCTCTTCCTTCTCTTCTCTCTTTAAATTCATAACAACTGTCCTGTCAGTGGATTTAGAGATGAGGAAAGTGCCTGGGGTCACTCTGAGTGTCGACTGTAATGGCACCACTTATAAGCTGGCAGTCCTGTGTTCCCCTGGGTGACCGAATGGTGTGTCTCAGCTGGGGGTTGATTACGGGGAGCTTCTCCTGATTCCTTCGGGTGTATTTCTGGATATCATGCATCATGAAAAATAAGAAGTGATCATTTCCTTTGGCCCCAAGCCCAGATCGCCCTATCATTTGCAGTTGCTTTCCTCCTGCTGACACATGCTTGCGTCCTCCGCTCCTTTTGGAGAGGAGAGAGAGCACTGTGCATGGACAGAGCGAGCTCAGTGGTGGGCCCGTGAGAGACATGGACACGGTTTATCCGGGAAAAGGCATGCCAGTGGGAAGAAGCCCAACTTTTCTTGTACATAATGTCCAGATTGCTGTCCATCAAGTCCAGATAGCTGTCTGCCAGCCTTAGTAGTGTTCCCACAGCGTCACACGGCAGTCTGTCAATTTCTGCCATGCAGGGATGAGGCAGAGGGTGACTTTTCAGCAGAGACGTTCAGCAAGTCTCCCTTGACCTGCTGCAGTTTCTAGATGGCCATGCTGCTGCTTGGCGGGAACTGTGACAAAGAACTTGTGGGCCCACGGGCTCTGTTAACACCACACTCCCTACACTAGACCCTTTGTGTTCCAGCTTCGTCTCACACCTTAAAGACCGAGCTGGGGCTGTCCCCCTGCAGGTGGACACTTCTTATGTTACACGTAACAGTTTGCGCTTCCAGAGTACCACCTAGCATGACTCTTCAAAAGAGTGTTTGAGTCTCCACTGCTGTGTCCATTTGGAATTGCCTAGCCTGTGACTGTTCCTACACATGTACACCACACATGTAGCCTGCACGTATGTTCCACACATGTGACTGTACTCTGCACTGAAGATGTAAACACGTCGGGCAGGACAGGCCTGTGGGTGATGGAGACCCTTCCCCAGACTAACACCTAGGCATTAACCAAAATGCCTTGGCAAGAGTGAGAAGCGGCAGTGCTGTTTGTTCTAGTGGAGACTTAGTGCTTAGCATGTGGATTTGCTGTGAATTTCATGCGTGGTTTCCTCTTCTTTTGCCGGTTCACTAGTCCACAAGTGTGGGCAGTACTTAGTGACTGTTCAGGTGGGATGAATGGATTTCTTTGGTGATTATTTTAGATTAGTGGGTTATAGAATACTTTGAAATCATTACAGGTGACTGCAGTTTAGAAAGAGAAGAGCATGGGACTAAGACTTGAATTTCATTGTGGTTGAGGCTGTGGTCATTATCTTCTTAGAGAGTAAGGCAGAATTCCAGCCTTTCAGTTATCCACAAACCGGGACGTAACATAAACGTTTGCCAGGTGTTTACCTCCTTAATAGCTAGGGTTTCCCCTCCCTCCCTCCCTCCCTCCCTCCCTCCCTCCCTCCCTCCCTCCCTCCCTCCCTCCCTCCCTCCCTCCCTCCCTCCCTCCCTCCCTCCGCAATAGAATCCATTATGGCAGCCATTCCGTCTGATAGCTTTATATCACAACCTGAATAAATGCAGCATGTCAGCTAGGAGAACATGGAAGTGTGGGAGAAGAGTCAGTGCTGTTGCTTAATTTCCTGAGGACTTACAGGCCTCTCCTTCCATGTAAACGCCCACCGTCTCCGCACTGGCACATTCCCATGTAGTCATACTTCATACTCTGCTCACCACAACTGAAACTGCAGGTCCACCTCCAGTCAGTGAGCAGAGACACAAGCTCATCTGAGACAGTGGCTTTTGGGCTGCAGTTACTTCCTCCTTCCCTCCTGGATTATAAGGTGAAGGAAAGGAAAACTTGTCTAAAGACATCTTGCTATTCTTTATTTCAACTTCGGATTTTTTTTTTAAGTGAACAACTTCTTCCCAATCATCGTCACCCAGAAAACCTACATTTGCTGTGCACCCTGCAAATAACCTGCTTCCATGTTGGGAGGGGCATGATAACTGCTTTTAGCTGCCTCTGCCCCAGGATTGCTGGAAACATTAGGCAGAGTTTCTGAGTAGCAGGAATGCCTCCCATTCTGTGTAATGGGAAATTCTGACTCTCCTTACTTTAAGTGGCATAATGACATCACCACTGCTTAAAACCCCTTACAGTAGTCATGTGCTGTCTTAGTTGGAAGGTGATCTTACAAATGGAGTGCATCTCATTGTGGGAGCATCCCATCCTGGTGAGGTGGACTGAGCCCGGCATTTTCTTTCCTGCTCTTGCTAAGGTTCAACAACAAATCTGCTGACATGCCTGGGATAGCCCTCCAGCTTTCCCTGTGTCTCGGCACACTGCCTCCTCAGTCTGCAGTACTCTGGTGAGAAGGGATGAGGCAGAGGGAAGCCAATCTACTGCTAGGAGTGAGTCCTCCAGTAGAAAGACTCGTCCCTATCCACCTTGCAGCTAAAAGATCCAGGAAGATAACCAGGAGCTGCACGCATCTTCTGCCATCTGCCACCCTGTGGTCGTTGGTTTCAAATAACACAGGAATTTGATTTGCTCTGCCCGAGGAAAGACATTGGAAAAATATAGTTTCCTGTTCTTGGGAGTTTGCTGTGTCTTTGGGCAAGGAAAACAGCATTCCTTGGGCACAGATTCAACAGATAGCAGTTACCCTTCTGTCCCTTAGCCAGACTTGAAGTGCTTTATACTTTTTTTTTTTTTTTTTTTTTTTTTTTTGGTTTTACAAGACAGGGTTTCTCTGTATTGTTTTGGAGGCTGTTGGTCCATCCTGGCCTCGAACTCACAGAGATCCGCCTGCCTCTGCCTCCCGAGTGCTGGGATTAAAGGGGTGCGCCACCACCGCCCGGCTCGAAGTGCTTTATACTTTATGTGGAAATGAACTTTTATTCTTTCCAAAGGGTCTGCTTTGCAGTAAAGTTCCCATTCCCACCTGGAACTGAAACCAAACCAACAGGAAACTTTCAGGCAGGGAAGCTGACTTTCAGATTTTCAGTGCCCTCTTCTGGAAGTGGAGTGGGTGGTGGCGGGGAGGGAGGGGCACTACCAAGTGAAATGTGAGCTGAAGCTCTGTAACTGCATCTACCTCCTTTCCCTGCTTCCAGGGAGAAGCTGCAGCAGCACAAGTGTGGGA